CGGAGAGACGTAACATTAGACAACTTGATTCTGCATTCGTATCTTGATCGATCTACAAACACAGAGTCCATACATTTTATATGAAATGTTCCGCAACAGTTACGTTTTATTTTTATTTATTTTCTTTGTTCAATTCGAAATTTATTTTGGCTTAACCAAAAACGCTAATAAACAATGCTTCATAAAAATGATAAGAATTTATTTTTTGTTTAATTTCTGATGAATTAAACAGAAAATTTTGGTATTTAAGATTTTTTTTTTTCTGACAATAATAAATATATTTAATGTTAATTTAATAAATTCTTTAAAAAATTCTTTAAAAAGTTCTTTAAAAAAAAATGAGTTATTGATTTATTTTTATTAAAAAAAAGATGAGTAAAAATTGATAATAAAATCGATGGCTAAAAAAAACTGCGATGAACTTTACGATATTTTGCACATATGTAAAATACGCAGAAGCTGAAATGACGATAACAAGTCGCAATTAATTATTCAATATGCAAGACATTAATAGACACTTACTATTATATATTTTTGTGCCGTCTTTACAGCTACATGGCTGCTGCTGCTCGTCGATAGGACACTGCAGTATGCAATTTTCCGAAGCGCATTCTGCAAAAAAAAAAACAATTTGTTATAAAATTTATATTGCATAGAATTTAAGAGATTTTTGCTTTTTGATACGACCTTTATTCGTACTTTGCTAGACTTTGATAAGAACGAATAATCCGTGTACCAAAATAAAACAGATAAAGATATCTGATTGAGATAAAGCGGTACCTGTATCCAAAGTGTCCAAAAGACGAGTTTCACAATTATGCCCAACGTAGCCATCAAGGCAATCACAACGCATTGCTTCTGCCCCAATTTGTCTGAAAAGAATGAATTAGTTAGTTAATTATTTCACTAAATCAAAATTATTATAAATATAAATTTTTTAAATATATTAATTACATTACATTTTAATAGATTCGTACCTGCATGTAGCTCCATTTTGACAAACTGGATTATGCTCATCGTTAAAACACAATGAACCTTCGTTACAGCTTCTTCCGCTAAAACCGTCGAAACAATCGCACCAGAAAAATCTAGTAAAAGAAAAACATAACAATTTCAGAAATCTCGCATTTTCAAGATTAACAGATAAATGAAAGATATAAAAAAAATCATTAATGATTCATGCAGTAGCAAGTTTGCAGTTGTATAAATTAATACCCTTCATGGATATTCAATTTCTTAATATTTATCCTTGAAATTGCAAATCTTAATTTATTACAAAAATAATTTTTAAAAATATGATTTAGTATTAAAATGAAGTATTACGGAATCATGGAGAGAGATACATTGTAATGCATACATACACAAGTTATGATAGTATATTAGTGTACTATAAAGAGTGAAGAACTTACGTGTGATCCACAGAGACGAGGCAATTTCCTGCGAAGGAGCAATCACGTACAGTGCAGGACTCTGGATTCGGGTGTTCTTCAGTCATCTCATATGTCACATTAAAACCATACACGTCGAGCAAATCATTCAATACTCTGATGTGATTGCCTTCGAGGCGATCCAGCTCAAACTCGATCACCAGGAATGGTCTGAAAGTCCTGAGGCGCCGGTACTCGAAGACGTTACCTTCAGTCACCTCCTTTATCAAAGCTGCTCCAAAATTCATAGTCTCAGATTCGTAATATGCGTACTCGGTGAAGCGAAGCCCCTTATAAACGTAAAGCTGCGTCAAGTAGACGACGATAGAACTGTTAGTTGATGGGATATCAGACACGTCGATCACCCACCGACACTTGATCGGTACCGGAAACGGTCCAGGAAAATTCGGCGTATGTATGACGCCCCTAAGACTCGTTAAGTGACCACCACATAACGGGTCGAAGTTCATGACGACACCCGGCAAATTGGCACAGCAGAGATACAGGAGGAAGACTCCAGACACAATCGGCGACTTCATCTTCCTTCGATAATTATTAAAAACACATGAATAACACATTGTGACAAGATAATTCTTCATGAATGTATCATTATAATTATGCTCACATAATTTAAAAAAATAATACACATTTACGTGATAATGATAAACTTTAGTGTTAATATTGTCAATATTGATTGAATAGTCTTTATGATTGTTTACAGTACACAGTTATTTCAGATGTTACTCAAATTAAGGCTAATTGTAAGATCTGAATATGTGAAAGCTAGATATACATATGTATACGTATATATCCTGACACCTGTTTATCTGAAATCATAGCTAATAGCAATCAATTTCCATATATAGATACTATCCAAGCATTCATATAAACAAATAAAATAATAACATAAATAATAAAATTATATTTTATCTAAAATATGTTTTAAAAAATATTTTGCTTGACATCATGTTTTTATGAATTCTTAAAAATTTGAGGAAGAGGATTTGCTATATATATGAATAAATGATTTCATTTTTTATAGTTGAAATACATCAAACAACATATATGCATATGTTAAATATGTAAAATTACAATATAATATATTCATAACAGCAATTAATTTTTAATATACATAATAAATTTGCATAATAAATGAGAATTAAAATCAGTCAGCATAGTAAATATTAACATGCCTCCTTTTTACCTTGCTAGTGATTTGGCGCGTTATCACAATTCATATGCGAAGTGAACGACCGTGAGCTAGCTATCTCTCTTCTTTTCACCGTTATCGTTCAATCAGCTACTCTTTTTATTTCTTTTCGCATTGCTCCAGCATGACAACGTCGATATCTCCTCGCGCACAAGCAGGAGCCAGAAATTTCGCTTTTAGTTAGGCTTACATGTAGAGCGCGGATTCCCGGGGGTATCCAGCACATCTCGATCGACTCCATCGTGCATCGTAGATGGAGATTCGTGGTAGAACGAAATAGCGATTTCGTAGTTCGACTGTTTGGACGAAGAGCGTTGACGATAAACGAGCGCGAACAACAAATGCAAATGAACGGTCAAAAGACCTCGGTATGACCTTGTGTGCAAGGTTGTGTGCAGTGATACTGATTGCTCTCAATGCTTATCACGAGAGAAGCAAAGTCGCACAATCTACCGGGCTGCTGGGCGTCAGCCTCCACCACACACCACCACGAAGCTGTCCGCGCACCCCCTCAGTGCATCCAACGCTACTAATTCATGATCTATGTACACATGTAGTACTGGTGTGGTAGTATTGTCAGGAGTTCGGCGGAAAGAATTAATATTTGGCGCCATTAAAGATTGTAAATTAATGTAAATAATATTGGCTAAAAAATAAAGTTAATGTTAAAAACATGATTTTCCGAAATAAATTAATAAAGTTTTCTTAAAAATAAAAATAATATTAAAGTTTTCTTACCTTTTTAGAGAATAGTATAAATAATGTTATAATAATATATTGCAAATAATATATAATTAAGAGATCTTTATTTTTCTAATAATTTTATTTCTAATTATCCTAATTTTATATATATATGTATATATATATATATGAGAACAATGTACTTAAAATTTCGTACACCTTAGGTATCTCGATCTGAGATCGGTGTACAATCTAACTGTCTCTTGTGGACTAATTTATTAATTTTTTAAGAAAAATTAAAAATTTAGCACTAACATCCTGCGACGGCTCTTAATGCTCTTCTATTATATTTCTTGATTGTTATCATATGGAGTCTTACTATTATGTGTTTTTTATATATATTTTGTTTCTATTTATTATATAAAGAAAAATAATCAGCATATCAGAAAGAAAGTTCGCAAAATGAAAGAATTATAAGCCAATGACTCACTGTTATCTACAGACATTATATCAGTAGTGATTAAATGACAAAGTAAGATATAAAATGATAGGAATTCGTTTTAAAAACATTCAGGAACTCATGTGTGAGGATTACATAACTTTGAAGTGCATGCGTGAAAGAAAAAATAGCGTAAAATTGTTGAATAATGAAAAGTAATGTATTTCTTTAAATACGAAAGTCATTTGAAGTTTTCGAAATAAAATAAATGGTTTGTATATTTTTAAAATTATTTTTATTTTTAATATAATCTCCCCCTTAACATTAATGCACATTTGCACCAACGATGCTCCAAAGCCATTATACCGTTGTCAAATTCTGATTTGTTAAGGCCTGCAAAGTATTCATCGTTTTTTTTTATTTTATCATCTTTAAAACAATCACCTTTAAAACAAGTCATAAATATTTTTTATGGTTTCTGGTGTTATTGCATTCTTCGGACGTCCACTGTGAGGGTCATTGTATAGGCTTGCACGACCACGTTTAACTTCAGTCATCCACTTAGAATTAGTCGAAAATGAAGAACCAGAGTCCTCTAAAGTATATCTCATATTAGTATAAATGTTCGTTACCGATTAACCTTTTTTAACAGAATATTTAATTACAGCACAAAGTTTATCTTTTTTCATTTCTAAGAAATTACAAAAATACTTTTATTCAAACAGCTGTATAAAAAAACCTACTTGACATAATGACCTGTAATTTTACACGTGTTCAATGATAGATGAAAGACGCTATTGCATTTCTTAATAATTTTAGTTATACTACTGTCATCTATATTTCATTTCGAGAAATTTTCAAATGACCACGTAAGAATAACGCTTATAATTTTCTTATAATTTTCGATTATAATTTATGTACAGCTTTATTGAGAAAGGCAACGGTAACTGTTGTATTTTTTCCCTCATGTAAACAGCGAACGCGTTGCTATCTACATAGTGCGCGATAATTGCTTTCTTGCGGGAAGAGTCTTTTGACGTAGAGCGAGAACACGTGTTTCTGTATGATTTATAGACTGCGATGTCGGGCAGATCTATGTCCATCGTGTCGCCTGTAGTATAGTCGTCTGTAGTATCGGTCATGTCCGAGTCCGAGTGATTGGTGTTTGAGCTGGAACTGCCTTCCTCATTGTTGAGATTCATATCTTCCACTATACCGCTGTCCGTTTTCTCGCATTTCGCAATTTTCTTGCGTTGTATAAAAGCGCTTTCTTGTTCAGCATCGCTATCACTTTCGCTCATGTTGGAATACGAAGTTGTCGATTTCTCACCATCTCTTTCGCTCCGCTCTTCATTATTGTTGTCGTTTACGTCTGCACTTGTAGAAGAGGTGTGATCCGCATTTGCAGAAGACGTGTGACCCGCACTTGTAGAAGAGGTGTTATCCGTACTTGTGCCTTCTGTGCTTGTGCTTGAAGAGGAATTCTTTGCGTCAGATTTCCATCTTTGTTGACGTTCTTGAAAACTTCTCGCTGTATTTACGGTAGCATCTCGGGTATTCTCGTTGACGTTACTCGAAACCCGTTGATTTTCCTCATTGTCATTCTGATTTGGTTGTATGACAGCTCGTACCAATTGCAGAGTTGTCGTGATAGCCTCTCCAGGATGAGCGTCTACATTCAGCAAAAAGCGTGCACGCCCGACAATATCCTGTTCATCGTCGCTTAAGGCATCATCGGATTCTTCAAAGATAGGTATTACGAAACTTCTGAGTGTATGTTGTCGCGCAGTCTGTCTCTGATGTACCGGTAGTATGGGCTTTTTGGTCTCGAGATCAGTGTGTTCGCACCAGATATTTTGACGTAGACGATGTCGGATCTTACCACGACACAGCTCTTGCAAAGGTAAAGGATTGCACTCCGCTGCACATATTTACATAAAAAAATCATTTAAAATATCGTAAAACAGATAACAAACATTTTTTATAAAATATAAATTACGTACGTAAGTGAAGCAAATTGTGCTCTGAAGGTGGAGGTATAACTAAAGTTGCGAACGACACAGGAAGCATTGTATGCTGCAACCAAGTGTTTTCATCGACTCTTTTCAAACGTAGTAACTGATCTTTGTAAGGCATCACAAGAATACCTCCAACACGAACAAATTGTTTAATGAACGCTTCATGACTTTCAGGACACGCTGCGCCACAATATACTCTGTCATATTGTCTGCCAGGTATAATGCTGAGACAATTTCCTGTTGGATATATTATTATGATATATTTTTGTTCGCACAAATCCTCCCATTTCTAATATTCAAAGAAATTGTTTTACCTTGTATGAATACCGGTTCACAAAAATCGAATTCATTCAAGGCCAATGATTTCTGCTTAAATTCTTCCATCCTTTCATATGCATATTTTAGACAGTCTTCATGTAACTCGATACCATGATTGGTTCCATGTTGTTCTAAGGAAAGTACAAAAACTTTACCTATATTCAACACTTGTTTATTAAAACATTAGTAATTGCCTTACGTAACAACAGTCCTGCCATTGTGCTGAGGTAACCAGTTCCTGATCCAAGATTTAGGAAGCTTAAGCCTGGCTCTAAATTGAGTCCTTCCAACACTTCACTGTATATACAGGGAGCTGATAAGTGTATGTTTCCATCTTTCCAAGCTAGATCCTTATAGGCGCCTTCTCGAAATGAGACATAGTCAGCTCTGTCCACAGCTCTAAAAACTTGTTCCACCTTCTTCGTCTTGATATATTTTGATTCCATCAAATTGTCTACTAATTCGTCATTGTCTTGCCCGCTACTTACAGCTCCTCCCATGTTTATCAAAGTACTAAATATTCTATAACATATTTAATGCATATATATGTTTATTATGTTACAAATTAATATACAAATCAAAAAAATTAATAATAGAGCACTTTAATAGATTACCAACGATAAAACAAGTAAACAAGAAAATGATAAAAAATACTTATCCACAAAAGTCTGTAGCAATAAGGAAGCTATACATATACACACGCACACATACATTTGTGCGATATCATGCACTCAGGGCATCACTTTTTTATGTGAGATAACATTTATAAAGTATTGATTCCAGAATAATCATCTTTGACTGAATTAAAGCTATCATTGCATATTCCATTGCATTAGATTATTGCCCAAATGTTTTTCATATATTTATGGGCTAATGATTTATTGTATTAACTAGTCACAAGATATTTTTCAAATCTTAGGAGACAATATGGAGACTCAGGCAGTATTAAGACATGACTTTAAAAATAACTTGGGTCAAAGTATAAACTATGCAAAACATGAAAGTCTAGACCGCTAAAAGCACCTTTATGTTAATTCGACTATAATACTTTCTCGACAATTAATTGGTTTATTAGCGATAATGATTCGATTATGCAATGGGTGATGCATGTTTTTTGTCTATTTTAAAATTTTAGACAAAAGACAATAATATACGATCAACGAAAAATATATGCGATACAAAGTGGTGTTTATTTACGATAATAACGCTGCATCTCACCTCTCTCTCTCGTAAGGAATAAACCTGCAAACACGATTCAATAAATCAGCAAAGTCACCAACTACGAAGCACGTTGAAAAAGATTTCTTGATATGCCTATTTTATTTCGTAACAACAATGTCGTTAATGTTAACGTATCGTCAGATTGCCGTATCGTAACGTTAACACAGGTATGAAGTCAAAGCTGCATAACGATACGTAACGTATCGCGACACTGCCGTTAGGAAAAGTTACTGAATAAATGTGCGTACAAATCAAAACACAATCCAATGATGACAGCGGGTAATATGGAGACGATGAGTCGCTAAAGCGGAAAAGAACTCTGTCCTGGCGCTTATTACTTTGATGGCGATCGCAAACGTTAGCATATTACAATGTTGACGACGTGATACGATGTATCGTCGTCGCGCACTGAAACGGTCGTCGCGACGTCACTTGTGTTTTCATAACGCAAAGGGATTATCAAGTCCATCAGCTGATATTGCAAAACACACTGAGCGTCGAACAACTTCTACGCCATTGAGTGAAACGTGACATTATGAATAATTCACATTGAATCGATATTCGAACGCGTGATCGGCGATAAAAAAATTATAACTTAATTATTCAATTATGTGTGAAATGCATTAAAATCGTGAGAATAATCTTATAATTTTGGTACATGCCAAATTTATTAAATAAAAGTTATAAATTTTTTGTCCACAAAGCATGCGAAATATACGCAGTATGAATTTTGCATTAGAATGCGCGATGTTAGCGCGTTTATAGCATCGCGGATTTTTCATGTAATATATATTGCATTTAATCATTACACTTAAGATAAAAGTAGTGCAAGATGTTATTTTATTACGTTGAAATCTTTTTTTTTTAATATTTAAAAAATACTTAAATTTTTTATTTTTTCTTATTACTAATTTTATTTATTTTTTATTTTTGTTAAAAATATATATTCCAAGATATGTTAGATAATTATTAAATATATATATATATATATATCTAATTGATAAAAATGTTCATATTCTTTGTCCAAACATTTTCAAAGGGCCTAATGATACCTTTCGATTTTGGTAAAATATATACGCGATTGAACCTCTCCGCTGAGAAAAGCGTCTGCTAGCGTTGCTAACATCTGCTACTGCGCATGTTAGAGGTTTGTTTCCGGTTTAGTATCTTTAGGATCTTTAGCATAGCGCACTGTAATATTCTTCTCTTGGCTGATACGATGGCGACACAACGATAACTTTAAAAGGTGAGTTGTGATTCGTGAGATTTTCTATATATACAATGCATCGTCGGCATGTAAAATGATTACTTACACTCGCGGAACATCGCCGGTCACTTCGTGTGTTTGCAATTTTTCGTGAATATTGTCCGAGTACGTGCGTAGCTAAAATCATCGCTCTTCATTATATTGATAATTGTCCGATTCTTTTGGTAAGTGTATCCTAAAAGTATATATGGCATTAGAGAACTCGCTGGCTTCATGAACTCCATTAATGTAATATATATATAAGCTCGATAATCACGGAAACTACATATGAGTCTAACGTAATACATACGGAAACAGATTGCGATGTACTTGCACTTTGCATGGTGGAGTAAACGTCGTTTTGATGGTATTTTTTTTATTCGGCATAATTCACTCGGTGCACTCGGACATAAATATTTGTATCTGAAACATCGTGATAATCGTGCTATAATTAGTTCGTGCGATACAAAGACTGAGCATTTTGTTACATTTTACGAACTTTTTATTAACCTTTATTCTATTGTATGAAATCTTAAACTTCGTCTATAAACAACATATACTTTAATCTAATTTTTTTGTATAAGCAAAATTATTTTGCTTATACAATATATGTAAAAGGTATTTTTTTTTATCCTTTAATGTAAAAATTATTTTTATATTATTTGTGACGCGTTGCAGAAGTTGTATATTTCTTAAATATAGATGATAACATTTGCAAAATGTAAAATACGAGAAAATTTTATTTGCTTTTAGAATAATAGCTCACGTATTATAAACGACGAAATTAATTATATATAGATAAATTGTCTTTTTATTTTTCGAGATATATTATTGTTTATTAGTTTATCTTTTAATACGATAAATGTAAATTAATATTTTATTAATTTATGAGCCGTTGTTGATTGAATTCTTATTCAAAATTAATATCAAGCGACATGAAAATTATATTTCAAGAACATTTGTGCATCGTTATTGTTTGAGTCAGCTTAATTCGGCTTATCTTGATATTTTTAGTGACAATGTTTCCCTTTCGCGTGTACTGTGTGTGCATGACGAGTGTTCCGCGATTTGGAGGTTAACGCGCGAGTGTCTCGGAGCGGTGAGAATAATTTTTTCACATTGATTTTAATAGTAGAGAGTCAGCTGATATCTGTCGCATATTACGCGACAGATATCAAGGAGAATATTGATTAATGGAATTCAGGGAAATCATTGAACTTGGCGTATATATATATATATTGGCGATTCCTTGATAAAACTTGGTGAAAACGACTCGAACTTTGTCCATGAATATATCATTGATAACTGTATAAAATTTACTTCAGTTATGTGCTTGTAGCCATAGTTGACGAATGTTCTTTTTTGATTTACATTGATGTATCATCTATTTGACATCCATCTCTCATTGGTTGTTGTATCTGACGTAACATTCGGTGATATTAGAAATTCTCTAGATGCAATCAGGTTTCCTTTTAGTTGCGGTTTAGCTATTTTCGAGCGCATCGTATCTATGTACATTCATATACTATGACTGTTACTTACAAAAAAATCCAAAACTGCATTTTTATTAGGTAACTTAATATTGTACAGCCTGGAATCATCTCTATTATTTAATTTCGTGTGTAATTTTTGAATGTGTCAAACGTGCAAATTGCAATTTTGTTTACGTCGAAAACACGAGTTTTGGTTTATGCCGAAAACACAGTAAGTTGTCCAAGCCATATTGATCCTATTTACATCTCAATGATATAAGCAAATTAAAAGCGGCAGAACTGACATATGATTGTGTATTTTTTGATTATTTAAAATGATATAAAATCACATTAAACCATCGCCAATATTATCACAAGTAATAATCCTTGTTAATTAAATCTATCGACGAATATCGTATAGTTAAAAATATAGAGAAAGTCTTTACCTGGGTTTTCGTGAAAACAAAAGAAGTGAAATTATAAAAATGTAGAATAGATTTAGTAGTATTGAAGAATTGGTATTAAAATTTTCGGTGAAAGTTTAGCTGGTGTTTTATATAAATTAAATTTAATAGTTTGTTGTATGTCATTAATGTCTTTGTTGTCACGAAAATTTTATTTAGATAGATTGCACATGAAGAATAACCATGAAGCATGTTTTATACAAATCAACCCATCACCTAAAATAAAAGAGATGCCGTATTGCGTTCTATATATTATACACATATGACTTATTCAGCTACACTTTGTGTGCTGCTCCATTGTGTTGCTACACTCTAGACTACAACTTTAATTAGTCTATTTTATTTCTCTTCTAGAAATTCTGTAAAAGTTTTTGAGAAGCAAAAACTCCTGCAGCATTTGAGTGTGCTAAATGGACCACATCCTCTGTTTCTTTCGGACTTCAAGATACGCGAATATATTCGTTCCGTCTCAAGAGAGTCTGAAAAAGTGTAACTAAAAGAAGATACAGAAAGAAAGGTAAGATCATGCCTGTGCACTATGTATACACGGTTATAATTTTTGCAATCGAAACTCACATCAAATCGTATCTTTAATCGATAGCACGTAGATCGTCTGCCGTTCATATTTGAAAACGCGGTGTAACATCTTTGGTGCAACATATGTGTGTATATGTAGCAAAAAAAGCATTTCGTTTGCAGTTTATAATTTCAACCAATACCTTTCTCACTATTTGTGTACAAATCAAAAAGATACTCACCGCAATTTCTTAGTCCGTGGACCGTTCGATTTACTTATATCGTTGCATCAATATTTATAAAATATTGCTGATGTGTTTTGTCACGGGTCTTTTTTTTGTGATGACGTTTGCGCGGGAGGTGGGTTCGATGTTTTCTTTTAAAGAAACATTCGTGTAATTTGTGTGGATAATAAATAGCTCGTGATATCAATGATATATCGACATTCATGCGACATTCACGAATGACGAATAACTCGTTCAAGTTGAAAAAATTCGGGAAAGCTTTTGCAACGAGCAGTGATATTAGTGGCGCCATCGGTGTCAGCTGTAGGTTTACACAGTACGATTGGTTGGTGCAAGTGCATGCGTTTACTGTGCAATATCGAGAAACCAATGGGAATCGAAGTGTTGCGCCGTCGCCATTGCGCGTCCGGCCTATGGGGACCTAGCCGTGGCGTACAGAAGACTAGGCTCGAACGCTTGAAAGATGTGCAAAGATTTTTGTTAAAAGTGTGTGAGTTGCATGGTGATTTATTCATTGTTTGTTACATAGCAAAACGTCGATCGAGGACGACGACTAACACAAACAACGATCATTTTACTGTGAGACGGATTGCATGTCTGTTATTCCAGTGAAAAGTGCCGAGTGTACGCGCGTTGTCTCTTTCATCGACAAGCGATTCCGTGATGCGCGACTGACTATTCGTAAAAGTGTTTGAATAGTAAACTTGTAGCCGTGGTACACACTTCCTTCTAATTGCAGCATTGTATATTTTCGCGTAGTAATACGCTAAACGCGGCACTACTGTGTCCACGGTGAATTTTAAAGTGAATTGCAAAGTGCTGAACGTGACTGCTGTGCTCCGATAATAATAGTCCGGCGCGCCATTTAAATCGTGCTTTCGCACTATTCTCGACGAGTGCGTTGAACGCCTTAATGGACAATTTCGTGTACGATAACACATTGCCCGATTGTCCACGCTTTTAAGAATGGAGAATTTTGACTCCTCGCGAATTATGTAACTGGTAATGCGCGTAACGACGCGATATGACGATGATGAACGATATGTCTACTAGGTTTGTAAAGTTGCATTTGTACTAGACATTGATAAATATATCATGTATTAGACTTTGTCTACTATATGACCCATTTATTAAAATTAGATGAAAATAAGGTATTATGTTTTATAATATAAAACTTTATTCAAACTATCACGTTTATATGCTTATTTGATGAGTAAGGAAAACTATACTGGTATAAAAACTGCTAGATAACGTTAAATACATTTTTTATGTTGATGAGATTAAATTTTATATTACTTATTTTTAATAATTTATATATATAACTTACTAATTTATGAAAATATTTTTTATATCTTTTTAAGTATTTGAAGTATATATTTATATATATACAATTTACTTTTTGAATTAAATATTTAAGAATTTTTAATCATTAACAAATTGTATAATGAACGGTCAGCTTTGAAATAGTGCTACGATCTGTTTGTTAACAGAATGGAAGAGGAAATAGTAGTAGATGACATAGACGACAATAGTACTGCAGAGACGCAGCAGGCAGATGACTCAACAACACCCGTAATGCCTTTGCTATACATTCAACAAAATAAAGTACGTTCTAATCAGTCAGCAAGTGCAAATCAAACTCTTGTTTCACCTAATACGCAACTTGCTGCAATTATTAATCCAGTTAATAATCAGGTAACTATTGAAGACATGCTGTGTGCATTATGTATAACAGTACACATTTTTAAGCTTTGCATCTTGTTGATTTTCCACGTTGTAATTTATGTAGAAGTTGAGAACCTTATTACATAGATTAGGGTTATCAATATTTGTAACTTGTATCTTATGTAATATGCTCTTTAATACAATATATTGTATGGAACAACACAAAATATAATTAAAATACAAGAAATAACCTAAAATTAAATACATATTTTTTGATAAATTGTATTACTGTTACTTATATATGCAGTCCTACACAAAAATGTGGTAGTACTAAACAACTCATACTCAGTGTACATATGTAGGCCTTGGAGCCTTATTAGTTTCCATGTGTAGGTGGTACTAGTGAATGGTGCATCTTTTCATAATAAATACAGATTTGGTTAATAGGCATTACATACAGTGAAATAGTAAGAGATACATATAATATTAATTTCCTTATTAAAAATGTATATATAAATATTTATAACCATTAAATTTTGTTATATACTTTGATATGTTATTTATTTATTCATTAAGTATATTGATAGATAAAAGATGAATCTTAATTAGTTTAGTGGTATCACTAAATTATTTTTATATTAACTTGTGTTATCACTAAACTAATTCAGATTCATCTTTTATTCATCAATTACTTGCAATTACTTGCAGATAAAATTGGAATGGAAATTATACTAAAGATTACTAAAGATACTTTTTATTATAAGAAGTTATTTTTGAAGAACATTCCAATTTTTATTTTTGTTAAACTAGTTTTAAATAGTATGTAAATTCCACTTTTATTTTAGATTGTGACTGGGCAAAATAAGGTTTTTATACAAGGACCAAGCCAAGTCGCTACATCTCAAAGTAAACAGCATATTGTAATCCATCGACCAATAAATACCGTGAGCACTACAGCGACCCCTCAGACTCAAAAACATATATTATTGAGAAAGTCAAATACATCTACTGCTCAGATAGTGCCCTTGAATACAACTCAAGGAAGTCAAACCAATGCACAAGTGGGAAAGCATACATTTGCATATTTGGGAACGCTCATTAAACCTAACAAATCACGAGAATCTGTTGTGATACCTGCAGGTAAACATTTTTGTATTAAAGAATTTTAGAACAATTATTTCTTTACAATTTGCAAACTTATATAATACAAAAAAAGCGATTAAATATTATATAATATACATATGGAACGTCAGAAAAATAATATCTGCACATTTACTTATTTATTTTATCGTATATTAATAGGAGCCCTATCAACAACTCAAATAACTAAACCAAAATTAGTAATTGCACCAGTAATATCTCAGTTAGCTCAGACATCAACTAGTACGACAAGTGGTTCTCAGAGTCAACCTCCTAAACACATGGCGAATTTATTATTGCCAGTAAATATTCCACAGCAGAGCGGAGCCACAAAACCTAGCATGTTTAACTTAAAGATTAATAATGGTCAACTTAGTACAGAAAGCAAGGGAACTATAACAGGTACAAAAATGAGAAATAATAAGCATTACATTATTCTTAAGGAAAACATCATTTTTATGACGTTTTCCATTTTACAGTGTTACGTGAGTCAAAAACGACGAATTCAACGACGCATCCACCGCCATTACATCCAATAGCGAAAATGAGTTTGTTAAATGCAAATAAGGGTAGTTCTAATTCAATTGATAGTATAAAAATTACTGAAAATCCAGACTCTGCTGTTATCACGCCTATTCCGAAAAAGGAAGATAATCAGCCAGAAAAGCGCAAAAAGACAATTAGCAATATATTACGAGGTTCCGCTGAAAAACGAATGAAGAAACAAAATATACCAAAATCGCCTCAGGACAGTCTGGCTGATACTAATTATGCACTGAGTAGTCCAGAGTCTGAACAGGACAAAGATAAGAAGGGTCAAAATGATGACGACATTACATTGATTAAAGTTGTTCCTAGCGAGGACAAAGTCTCGAAACTCAATACAAATATGGATGATGATATAAAAATAGAAATAATTAAAGCACCAACGAATTGTAATGTTGAAGCAATGCCAGACAATAAGTGCGAAGCAAAGAGTAATAATCACGATGAAACGAAAGAGCAATTAAATAATCTAAATCAGAATAATTCTAACTTTGATGCGACTAAAGTTTTAGACTGGAAAGATGGCGTTGGCACTTTACCTGGAAGCAATTTACAGGTAAGAGAATTGTATAATATTGATATATATAATATTGATTACCGTATCTATGTAGAATAAAATTGAAAACTTGCTGTGTATTAATGATGAGACATTAATCAAGTGTTTCTAGATGTGTGTACATATATGAATTATTTATTTATTATTGATCTAGTTTCGCATGAATGAATTTGGCATTATGGAAGTAGTAGACGAAGATGAAAGCAGTAAACAGAATAAGGATGGTATTGGTGACAAAGAAAATGTGTGTTTAACACAAAATTCTTCAAAGAGCAGTCCGGCAACTGTTAATAATGCTAATACGGAGAAAAAAGGTAAGTTACAAATAATAGATCATGATGATTTACATATAAGCATTTACATGTTACGATAATGGAATATGTTTGATTTAGCTGATGATAGAAAATCCAGATCGATGAATGCAGACACAATGTATCATTGTGAAGGTTGCGGATGTTATGGGTTGGCTGCTGAATTCGAAAGTCCAATATCATGCAGCCCTTCCTGCACAGAACAGATAGAATCTAGAAAACAAACTGCACTTCGAAAGGAAAAAGAGTTGAAGTATGTATTTATGTATATATAGTTTCTCATCACATAATATACAATAATTAAGAAGTTGAAAGATTTATTTATATAAATATTTGTAGGGAGGTACGTATGAGAAAGAAACGCAAAAGATTGCTGCAAGAATCACAATGGGCAAAGGAGATGGATGAAAAGTCTGATGATAAAATGCAGGATAAGGCAAAGTCTGAGACAGATGATGAAAAAGACACAATTGTTGGCATAGACGATGAAAGCCAAGGAGATTCGTTAGAGTGCAAAGTAAGAATTAAGTGTAGATTAAGTGTAGATAATAATTAAACTGCACCGACTAAATGATTAAATTGTTTTATGTCCAGTATCCTTGGCAAAGAGGAAAACTCGGTTTTTCATGGCCAAAGTACCTTGATCATTGCAAGGCGAAAGCAGCGCCTGTTAAGTTATTTAAAGATCCTTTTCCTTATAGCAAAAATCACTTCAGAGTTGGAATGAAATTGGAAGGTATAGATCCCGAACGTCCTTCTCGATATTGTGTTCTGACTATCGTCGAGGTTGTAGGTAAAGAATTAGAGATAATAATGTGTGATAATGTGTGAAATAGTACAATGATACGGAATTTGTAACGAATGATGTTGTATTAGGTTATCGAATGCGTCTGCACTTCGACGGTTATCCGGAAAATTATGATTTCTGGGTAAATGCAGATAGCATGAATATATTTCCTGCTGGCTGGGCTGAGAAAAACGGTAAAAAATTAGATCCACCAAAGGGTTATACAGTTGGTAACTTCAATTGGAATGCATATCTGAAATTGTGTAAAGCGACTGCAGCAGCGAAGAATATATTTCCGAATAAAAGCGTGCTGCAAACTGTCTTTCCTACGTGTTTTCGAGTGGGCATGAAGTTGGAAGCGGTGGACAGAAAACATTCTACATTACTTTGTGTTGCTAGTATAGCAGGTTTAATGGACTCCCGAATATTGGTCCACTTTGATTCTTGGGATGAGGTGTATGATTATTGGGCTGACGTGAGTTCACCATATATTCATCCTGTAGGATGGTCTCATCACAATGGAATCACTTTGGTTCCACCAAACAGTAAGAAATCTGAAATCAATACATTAGAATTTATTTATTTTTTTATATATAATTGCATTTTGTTGTAATGTGACGGTATTATAATTGTAATGCGATTAGACAAAGATGCCAAGTCCTTCACTTGGGACGCGTATCTGAGAGAAATGGGTGCGACGGCTGCACCGGCTAGGGCATTCAAACAGCGACCACCTTGTGCATTCAAACGCGGTATGAAGCTGGAAGCAGTAGATATGCGGGTTCCACAATTAATCAGGTTGGCCACGGTTGTCGATGTACAAGATCATCGGTTTGTATTAATAATTTTTGAATTTCTTGTATTTCCATTTCGTGAGATAATAATTACATATTTTCGATGTAGATTGAAGATAAAATTCGATGGTTGGCCCGATAGTCATGCTTACTGGGTTGATGATGATTCACCTGATATTCATCCTGCAGGCTGGTGTTTGAAAACTGGTCATCCACTGGAGCCACCATTAAGTAAGTTGCTGTTTGATTGTATATACAGAATATTAGAATTTGGGTCACACACACATTTTTTAAATTTATTTCATTATAGCGCCCGATAACCTAAACGATCGACCAGAATGCGGTACATACGGTTGCAGAGGTATAGGACATATAAAGGGACCTAAATTTGCAACGCATAATTCGGCATCCGGTTGTCCATACTCTCCTCAAAATCTAAATAAAAAAGGACACATGCCTGACAGACTTAGCTTGATGAAATATGAATCCTATGAATTTGAGGAGGAAATGCTGGAAAAACCTAAATTAGAGAAAATTGACAAAATTAAGATGGACAAGTCTGAAAAATATGTATTCTCAGACGAGAGATTAATAATTCCTGAGAAGGAGATTAAACTAGAAGATGGAGATTTGTCCGATAAGAATGACAAGTTTGAAAACAGATCGGAAAATTCGGAAAAGTATGTTGAACATAATATGAATGCAAAATTAAAAATATGAATACTGTTAATGAATAAATATAGAATAAATGTTATTAATTGGTATTATGTTATTTTATAGATCGAACAAGTCTAAAAATCTGCATAGCGATGGACAAACGGACGATGATGAGGTTTCGAAAAAACGGAAGAAAAAGTTCGTTGCTTTTAAAAAAGCATTTAATTTTTTTTCACGTTATATCTATATGAAATGATAATTTGATATTAATATGCATGTTTATTTTCAGAAGCACAATTTTGGAAGAACCTTTGTTTTCCGTTTCTAATACTAATTCTACATATAGCGATCTGCAGCAGTGGCAACCTATCCCATATGCTGCAAACATGCCAGATAAGCAATTGCGTAAAGAACTTTATCAATCTGTATATAATCCAGGATATAATCCTTTGCCAAATGCACCTCATGTATGGGCAAAACACAGCAATGCCTTAAACAGAGTAGTAGCAAAGCAAACTACAAATCCACGACGATGGTCGAATGAAGAAGTGATTAAATTTGTACAGAGCGTGCCTAATTGCGCAGAAGCTGGGAATATTGTTAGACAGAACGTAAGTTTCAAAAGAAATATAGCAATAATTTAAATGATTAATAATACGTATAATTGTTGCCTTTCTCATGTTGCAGAATATTGATGGTGAGGCATTTTTAATGTTGACACAAGAAGATTTAGTTTCGGTATTGCGTCTACGACTTGGGCCTGCAATTAAGTTGTATAATAGCATAGTTTTATTACGTCAAAAAGCGTCATAAATTATTTCCAAATGCAACATGTATTAATAGCAAGTCATGGAATATGGCAGCTATTTATAACGAAATATATTGTTTATTTATTCGAAATATTATTACGGAAATGGTTTAAATAGTTGCAGCATAAATTTTATACCAAGAAATATTTCAGAATTGTTTTTTTTCTTTAATATGTGACATCATGCTAATTAGCAAATAAAAAGCGAATAAAGAAGAAACGCAAAAAAATTCTCGCGAGCGTTTAATTTTGGATAGCTAAAAAATATTTGTGATTTTTTTTGTTTAAGTCAAAATTGAGATGAAAATACTACGTATTGTTAAAAGTCCTTACACATTGTTCATAATTAATTTTATATTAATTCTAATAAATGCAGAGCGATGACGTATCGCTTATTCGTCAATTTGTAATTCAGACTTGTCAATTCGTAATATAATTCGCAATTGAGACTTTGTTATAAGAATGTGTATTGTTTATAAGTACTTACAATTATATGACGTATTTTTTCGTATAAAATGAGTATGTTAAATCACACGTGTACAAATGTAAATATTATTTTAATTATTAAGTATTGTAATAAAAATACTTATGCAACCTTTCCACCTAATTGTATCACATATTTGTGAACTTCACTAAGAGATACTAACCATACTTTACACGAAAATGTCACATCACAAGATAACATTAAAGAATCTATTACAATTTTAATATCTGCATTAAATACTTGATGCAACTAGTTCGCGCTACTTAATTATTTAAATATTTGAAATTCGCGATATTGCTTTTCAATCACGATTATAGTTATAAAATTCGCCACGATGAATCGCAAAATCATATTTGAATCACTTTTCGCGATTGTTGCTATCTAAAAGTGAATCTCGTAAGTGTAAAAAGTGTTCGTGAAAATGTTTCCCCTGTCTTTAAATATCCGATATTTATTATAAAGTAATAAGTATCGCGTGTAATCGTTATTGTAATATCATGATTTTTGTGTGGAGTTCCTCGTTGATTGAAATCCGCGGCGTATCCGCTATTTCAAATTGTTCTATCACCATGATCGCCATTGATTTGTCATTGTATAAAAAATGTAACGAGTTCTCATGTTTCTCGCCAAAATGGTGCGGTAGAGCGATCATCGCCAGGTATGCACATTTTTGTTACTATGTAATAGCATTATTATATTTGACATTGTCGTTACTAAAAATAATGTTTATAAATGTTCATTAACAAAATGGTTAGTTTAATAGCAAAATGGTTGGTTTAATAGCAAAATGAGAAAAATATATTTTTATGTCTCTAAACTTCTATTCTAAACTTTTTCTATCTAAATATATTATTATTTGTCATTTATATATATATATTTATTTGGAAATAATACTATTTTGAATATTTTTATATATATATAACCTCTTTTATATAAAATAATATTTATGATTAGAATAATACATTAACGCGGAACCTTATCTGATACTGATTATTTCTATGTTATTGGCGATCGATAATGTCGAAATATTTTTTATCTTATGAGTTCACTTAATAGTGTTAAAAATTTTCGCATGATTGCGTGACTTTGATAATATTTTACCGAAATTATTTTGTTTATCATTTTTATTATGCACAGTACAGTTGTTGTAAGTAATTATTTATATTTAGTATGGTTATTTTTATATTTGTGAGAATTTTTCTGATCTTTTGATTGATTTAATTAGCAATAATCAATTGCATATGCCAATAATTACACAAATATTTCTAAATGCGAACACTACTGGGACAGCTACTGGGACATTGCAAAAGGTTTGCACATTTAGGTTATAATATGGATTATATTTTGAAACTTATGAGATCTTTTGTTAATGGATCTTTTCTTATTAATTATGGAAATTATTTTTATATATCTTATACATTTGTGTTAAGTTTATTGTAGCTAAATAATGGATATTAGTTGCTCATGATACCATCACAATGTTGCTCTTGGCAATGTTTATATACATATCTAACAATAAATATAAAATTCTAAACAGATACAGATTCAAAAAACTAAAGTTGCTTTTAGAACAAAACTATTTGAATTAAATATAGTGTCTAAAATAAGTTATATACATATTTTTAATAATGTAATAAGATTATTTTTTATTCTCTACATATGTATCAAATATAATTTTCAATCAAATGTAAATTTATGAAAATGACTTTTAGAGATATGTAAATCTCAATCAAATATGCTATGTAGAATAGAGTTTTATAATTATCTTCAACTATTTTACAAGCTAAAATACTTGTTTGTAACATTTTCACCGTTCTTTGGTCGCGTGCTGCTATTTGAAAAAGCGGTGTATGCATTTCTCTCCATCTATCCCCTCCTTCAGCCGGCTGCACGCTTGTTGGTACCACTTCTTCCCCTCCCGCCGTAGCCGGCGACGTGCCTGCTATGGCGATGTTTACAGCGTAGTCACGGCAACGGCTCATGTGATCAGTCGGCGGGCCGTCGTGCACCGGGTAACAGTAGAGGCTCGAGGTATGTAAGAATCGAATTGTGTTTCGTGTCACGCCGTCACTCGTCGCGACCAGTTAGTTTCGAAGTGTTGACAGCTCGCAATAATCACAGACAATTCTGATTTCGATGATACTCGAAGCGCCTGTGCGACTTGTCTGTGCGCGACGTACTTCAATTCAATAGCTCGAGTATCCGGAATACAGATGTGCGCGAATGCAGAACATGACATACGATATCGTACGTGAGTAATGTTAGTGCTTTTCTTTCCAACGTATTGCTGTGAGAGTTAGAACTTCAAAACTAATAACGTAGTGATATACATAGTGAATAACGTCCGATAACTCCGAAATGGAGCATGTCGCGAAGATTGAAACGCCGGCGCCGATTGACCTTGCCGCGAGGCGCGAATTTCTCATCGAACATCGTTCGCTCGATTCGCGCGAAACGGTGTGAAACGGATACATAACGCGTCTGTTCTGAATTGTCATTCCAAATCAATACGAAATTCAGCGCAAAATGACGCGCCGCATCATCGCACACATGATTGTGCGCGAATATGATTGATAGACAATCAACTTTGAGCATTTGAGTGTAGTATTTGAGTGTCGAAAGAAGGGTGTCTCGCGTGAAGTTGTGAGGAAAAACTCGCGGGAAGATCACGTGATCGTGCGATTTGCCAACAGACAGGACGCGGTGTGTTATGGTACGCGTGTTTTCGTTCGCGAGACGAAATGGGGACATTGACGATGCAGCGGCGTGGCTGGCGGTAAATTCAGAGGATAGATGCGTAGATCTCGCGGTGGCGGAACAAGAGTGGCCGTGCAAATTCGTTAGCAGCCCTCAGGCTCGTCCGTCACTCGCCGACGTCGTTGTCGGTGCTGGACACGGTGCTGCTGGCATGATGCCACGGGGTTTGCCGACGAGACGTGGTCTGCAGGCGTTAGCGCTCGTCATCGCTACCGCCTACGCCACGATTCTCCTCTACCAGGCTGTCGCACCGCGTCAGGTAATTAGAACGATCGTTATCCCCTCATTGATACAATTTTACGGCGTGTATTTCGCACGGCATCTCGACACTTGCTCGGCAAATGAGGTTATTTGAATTTGATTGATATGTTAATAAATATATATGTATAATTTTAAACATATCAATTGGTTATTTATATATCAATTGGATTAATAACACATTGAATAGATTGGAAGATAATGTATGCAAATAAAAAATATCCAAATAAATGTGTTCTTCTCAATATGCCTATTCATCCCATTATATAGAGGTCACCCTGAATATATGTATTTTTAATTATATATGTGGTAATACTGTATTGCAGTGGATCGACGAGTTAAATATGGCGGAAGTAAATGGCCGAAGTGTAATAGTGGAAGCACCGGCATTGAGAAAAATAATCAGCGAGGAGGCACCGATGACGCCACCGGTGGCGACGGCGACGATGGCACCATTTGCCACGAATCTCGACGACGTGTTTATCAGCGTGAAGACCACCAAACACTATCATCATTCGCGTTTGCCAGCCATCATCGAAACGTGGTTTCAATTTGCCAAGAGTCAGGTGAGCCTCTTTACACGGCCATAGATCCGTATAATGTCGATACCACGGATTAATTAGCGTCGCTCGATCGCTCTGTTCTTGCCTCTAGCATTTCTTGCATCTAGCTCTAACCTTGTAATAATCTTGTTACAAATGCAACACAGCCAGCTAACCATATCCTGGAATCACATAAATATCACTCAATACTTGATGTTCTAACATATAACGCATTTTTTATTTGTTTTATCAATAACCATATATTAATTTTGTTTGCGTGGGTGTGAAATAAATTTTATTTGCTTTATGAATTAGTTCGATATTCGTGTGCAATCACAATTTATCGATTAATTAACATGATCAAATGCAAACATGTATTCTTGTTTGGATGAGTCGGATTATTATTTTTATAACTGAACTCTAATATGAACAAAATTTTCTTTATAATAACAATATATGAATCAACTTTTAAAATTATTGTCCGTACAGGCAATAAAGCTCGAGCAAAGAGCGTAAGGTCTAATCGTGTTAAAGCGTGACAAATATACATATAGTCTTATCGCGGCGTCTTCATCAGGAGATTTATCTATATATTTTCTCAAGGAGCGGAATAGGCCATACTTTGTGTACGACTCGTTGAGTCTTATCCAAGGGTATCGAAGCGTATTCGCGTGGATTGAGGCGTATTCGCGCGTATCTACCGTAGACCGTGTCGCCGAAGATCAGCGTGAATTCATGATCTCGCGCCGTGGGAATGAGATTCGTTCCACTCTTCCTTCTATTACGATTTCTCATTTACCTTTCCGTAAATATTGCTTGTCCGTTCCATTCTCTTCGAAAATAACAGTCGGCAAGCATCACACTCGTCGGTGAATACATACTATTGATCAAACTTGTTATTGACAAAATAATATAGGTGAAGGTATTGTTGGTGAAATATTATCAATAATTTCAATGCGCTTTATCTCTCAAATTTACGTAATATTATTGTTTTAGAACTAATTGAACTCTATTGTATAAACAGAATCAAGGACATTGAGTTCAACCGTGATAAATCTTTTCATCGCTAACTAATACTTTTTTATTTTTTTATAAATTATGTACAATATTACATAATTACATAATTACTGAATTTAAATTCAATATTTGTGTATAAAAATTTTATTTTTTATAGGTATATTTATTTAAATATTGAAAAATCTGAAACTCGTTTTATTTTTATGAGAATCATCAGAACAACGAACAAATATATTTTTTGAATGAACGATAATTAATACCGATAAAAGAAGTTTGAAAAGTTCTTATACGTTGCTACAATTCTTACGTTCTATAAAGAAACATCAAGTTCGCTCAAACATCAGTGTAGCTTCCGCGTCCTTCTATATTTCTCCGGGTTAATATACCGTTCCTCGGGGTAATTGCTACCTGGATTTGCACGAGTTCACGCGTTTCCTGTAGTCTCGGTTCATTCTCTCTCTTTCTTCCGAGTCGAATCAATCACGGGATGTATCACCCCGCGTTAATCGTTAATATTATGATACGATTTCATATATCTTACTTTTTATTTTCAATTTTGCTTCTGATTTTTTTAATATTTATTTTTATTAATTAATAATTAAGAATATTGATGAATATTATTTAAATTATTAAAAATTCTGGACTATTTTTTGGTGATTATTTTCGTAATTTTAAAATATTAAAGTTTTATGTATCGTGAAACTAAGAATAGAATAAGATAATTTATGTATAGTGGTACTGTTCGAAATAAACTATTAAATGTTTAGATTGAGTTAAAGAAAATTTCATACGAAACTTCTTTAATGATTTCGAGGAATATATAAAAGTTAAAATATTAGATTATAGAATTATTACAATTGTGTCGTCAATTAAATTCGTAATTCTCATGACGTATCACGATATCTTAATTTACTTCGTATCGTAATTATTCTTAGTTTCTTTCGATCTCACGCTTTTTCCTCGCGTACGTTCGCGTTGCCGGTTCGCGTCGGTACGCATTTTCCGCGACGCGAGCGAGAAAAAGGGGAATAATAAAAGTCTGTGTCCGGCTGTGTACGGTTTCTGTCTCGTGGGAAGATCTCACGATTTACCTCCGACCCTGACGACCTCCGCGTTAGCCGACTTAGTCCACCCACGAGTATTCTCGACGAACTCACCTTTTCATTGTTACTTTCTCGATAATTAAACGATGCGCCACGATTCCGCG